TGATGATGATGATAGTGATCATTATAATGATGACAATTATGTTGATGATCATGATAATAGTGATGATGATGATCATGATAATAGTGATGACTGATGATGATGATTGTAAAAGTGATGATGATGATGATAGTGATCATTATAATGATGACAATTACGTTGATGATAATGATAATAGTGATGATGATGATGATGATTATAGTGATCATTATAATGATGACAATTATGTTGATGATAATGATAATAGTGATGATGATGATGATAGTGATCATTATAATGATGACAATTATGTTGATGATAATGAAAATAGTGATGATGATGATAATAGTGATGATGATGGTAGTGATCATTATAATGATGACAATTATGTTGATGATAATGATAATAGTGATGATGATGATAATAGTGATCATTGTAATGATGACAATTATGTTGATGATAATGATAATAGTGATGATGATGATGATGATAATAGTGATGACTGATTATGATGATGACAATGATAGTGATGACTATGATGATGATGGTGATGATGATGATGATAGTGATCATTATAATGATGAAAATTATGTTGATGATAATGATAATAGTGATGATGATGATGATGATAATAGTGATGACTGATGAAAATGGTGACGATTATGATGATGACGATGATAGTGATGACTATGATGATGATGGTGATGATGATGATAATAGTGATCATTATAATGATGAAAATTATGTTTATGATAATGATAATGGTGGTGATAATGATGATGATGTTGATAATGATGATGATGATGATGCTAATGGTGCGGATGCTAATTTTGATGATGATGATGTTGATAATATTGCTAATGGGTTTGGATGCTAATACTGATGATGGTGGTGGTGATGATGATAATGATGGTGATGATGCTAATAGTGATGATGATGATGATGATGTTGATAATGATCATAGTGATGACTATGCTGATGATGATGATGATGATGATGATGATAATAGTGATCATTATAATTAGGGGTGTCCCGATACCGATACCAGTATCGGTATCGGATCCGATACCAGTATCAAGTACTCGTACTCGTACTCGTAAAAGCC